CCCCCCAGCGTCGGCTCCCGATTGGCCGGCTCGGACGCCGCTCGGCGCTCTTCCCCAGGAGCGCGGCGAGCGTGGCCACGCCCCTTACGTCCGGACGCTGGGTCGCCTCCGGAGGCACCCTAATCGCCCCCGAGAAGGAGGTCGGCTGTGCGAGCTGCTGGTATGGTACTGAGTTCTCTGGCAGAGCCTGCAGAGCCGAGGCGGTCGCGGCCATGAAGGTGAGGGGCCAGTGGAGCCGGGCAGACCCTCCTCGCCTCTCCTATCCGGCCCGGGCATCCGAAGCGCCTCCTTTCTTTCCGCCTTAGCGTTTACCCAGCCGGCATCTCTGGGAGTTCCGCTTAGGGGGATCGCACGGCCGGCATCTGGGGCCTTGACCGACCCAGGGCGGAGAGACTGGGTTCCTGGAGCCTCTCTAGCTCCCACAGCACTCCCGTCAGCGTGCCCGAGGAGGGAAGAGAGGCCGGGCGTACCCTCTCCCCTGGTGGGCCCCTCTCTGCGCCGGGGCCCTGTGCGCTTGTTCGGGGGCCTGGGGCAGAGCCACTGGTGCTCGCCTTTGCCCTCCGTGCCTTTGCCCACGGCGTGCCCTTTCCCGCTCCGACTCCTTGGACTAACTTCCAAATGTCAGGAACATCACGGACTGAAGGGAAAAGTAGTGGTGAGCCTGGAGCCAGGCTAACAGGTAGAAACGGTTCGGGGCGGGCATCCCACCTTCAAGGGGTTCTTCGCAGGCATAATGCTGGGGCCGTGACCTAGAGCTCTAGCAAACTAGATGTCTCCATCGCCACTAGGTACGCAGCAAGTAATTTGGCAGCTTGAGTTCTCCAAGGTGGGAGTGAGCGTGGGAGCATTACTGATGAGAAGTTTAAGGGGAAAGGGGGAGATCTGGCCTGCTTTTGTGAGATGATTCTCGCAACTTGAGAGTTCTAATGAGCTCTGTGTACAGCAGTCAGTGCAGGTGTTGATTCATTTGCCTAACTCAAACCAAGTGGGATCAGTCATAAAGGAAGATACTCTTTCAGACCTACACGATTTCACTAATCTCAATGAAGAGGTGTGCTTGATGTGGGTAAGGAAAATAACAGTGAGCTGCTGGATTAACTCTACCATCACAAAGCCTCAAAGATTTGCTATGGAAGATTGAAAGGGAGTGTTAAGTGGCTAGAGAAATTCCGCAAATATTTTGTTTAACATTTCTTACGTGTTAGCCAAGAGGGAGACATGATGAGTAGAAGGACAGTAATTCAAAATATAATCCCACCGTTTAGGAAGGAGTTTGCCAATCAAAAGAGAAGAGACATTCGTAGGTAATCACATTACAAAGCAGAATGATATAAGGTAACAAAAAAATGCAAAAACCCTCAGGAGCAAGAAAGGATAATTCTGGCTTCAGGAAGCAAAGAAAATTTTTGGAATAGGTAACTGTTGAACTGTGCCTTAAACTATGGGATATTTTAAAAGCTTATTTTTAGCTTTCCAGTTTAGTTATAAAATATTATTTCAACTTAGAATACCTATTAAAATATCTAGAAGTAGCTTTATTTCCTGAAAACTATCATCTTCCTGTGTTAAGATCTGAAAACATAGCAGAGATCTTTATATATACTTCCTCAAAGAATGTCAGTATCTTTATTAATTTCATATTTGTAGCCCATCAAGGAACTAGACATGGAAGGAGAGAATTAGAGACAGGTTTAGGGTTGAAATTTTTAAATGAGTTCTTTGAAAACAGAAGTGTTTTTGAATTTAAGTGAAACATACTGCTTTCTAAGTTGAAATTTTAGAAACAAAGTTTGGTGGCAGTTGAAAAATGTAGAAAAGATATATTTTCTGAAGCAAAATGCAGACCTCAATAGACATCATCAGTCTGTGCAAGATGACAGCTATGACTGCTGCTTTCATTTATGTTTTCATGAAACTGGATTCACAAAATTTAGGATTTGGGCTGTTTAATTGTTTATTATTTAACCTACGTTGATTGTTATTGAAATTGTTTAATTGTGGATATATGCATCTGTAGATTTCTGAGCAGGGTTAGTGATTCCTGATGTCTTGGAATTTTAACTTGTGAATATTCATGTAAGCAAGTACGTCTTTTAGTGTAATTGAAATTACTTTAAAGGCTAAGCAATTAGATAAGTATATTTTCACTCAAACCCAGGAGCAGCTGATTTTAGTATGTGTGGGATGGGTATTTTCTTTACTTTCTCCTTTAATTTTTTTGTTATTGTTTAGAAACTAATGTTTGAAATAGATTTTATTTCTCTGGCTCAAGTAACGGTTTAACCTTAGAGTAACATCTAATTAACTCCCCATAAGGGATTTTAAAAAAGATCCAAATTGGTGTTCTGTGTTAGTTTGATTTAATTCTCCTTCCTGTTTTTCCATATTTATATTGCTGTCTCTTTTAATTGTGCTAATTATGTTTATTCTTTCAAGCTCAAAATGAGATATCAAGTAGAAAGCAATCTGAATATAGTTTTCTTTTCCTTCTCTGAAAGGTGGGGGAGTTGTGCTAAGGATCAAGTATACTGTCCAAAAAATAAAAGAAAACAAAAACCCAAACGTGAGGAGGTAACATTTATGATCTATAGCACACATTATTGTAAAATCTATCAATTTGGCCAATGTCTTGTCTAAAAATATTACATTTTAAAGGTCAACATCTCGGGCCGGCCCGTGGCTCACTCGGGAGAGTGCGGTGCTGATAACACCAAGGCCATGGGTTCGGATCCCATATAGGGATGGCCGGTTAGCTCACTGGGTCAGCGTGGTGCTGACAACACCAAGTCAAGGGTTAAGATCCCCTTACCGGTCATCTTTTAAAAAAAAAAAAAAAGGTCAACATCTCGGGCCGGCCCGTGGCTCACTCGGGAGAGTGCGGTGCTGATAACACCAAGGCCATGGGTTCGGATCCCATATAGGGATGGCCGGTTAGCTCACTGGGTCAGCGTGGTGCTGACAACACCAAGTCAAGGGTTAAGATCCCCTTACCGGTCATCTTTTAAAAAAAAAAAAAAAAAAAAAAGGTCAACATCTCTTTTTGCAACCTGCTTAATATCTAAATGGTATGAGAGAAAGAATTTAGGATAGAATTTCTTCCTGTGTGGCATCTGGTCATTAAGAAAGCAGAGTTCCCTGCATGTTGTACTTCAGTTGAAGCAGAAATTTCAATAAGAAATCCTTTCACACTCTAAGGAGTTTCTCAAGTGGCTCTAAATAGGGTAAAGGCTTTGTTTATTGTTGCAGCTGTTTCTTCTGCTTTGCTTTAAGTTCTGTAGGAAAGTTTAACCTAACTGAAATTTAGGAAACTGTAAATTTTATTCTTTTATATCACTGGTGCTAAGATTTGAAACATCTTTTTCTGTTGTTTAACACAAGGACATTGAGTTTTAGCAAGCTAAAGGTTGTCCAGAGTATAAAACAAAACCAATAGTGGGTGAGTTCTCTGAGGAAGCTTTCATTGGTGGAAGAACTGAATCCTGGTCTGGTCCTTGTAGCTTCTTACAACATCTGAGAAAATTAATATTCTTGAATTTGAAACTTCTAGGTTCATCCTTAAAATTACTGTGTAAAATATTACCATACTTAATGTAGAGCTGGGGCAAACAAAGTAGACTTTTAGGAGGTGGCATTATTACTGCTGTTTACCTAGTTTAATCAAAAGGAAATGACTTAGGCTTAGATCATTTAGTTTTCTGTTGTTTTCCTACCCATCAACTTTCTTTCTTTTTTTTTTTTTTTTAAAAGATGACCGGTAAGGGATCTTAACCCTTGACTTGGTGTTGTCAGCACCACGCTCACCCAGTGAGCAAACCGGCCATCTGTATATGGTATCCGAACCCGGGGCCTTGGTGTTATCAGCACCGCACTCTCCCGAGTGAGCCACAGGCCGGCCCTACCCATCAACTTTTTTTTCTCTTGCTTCCTCCTTCCCTCTGTGTCTCTTTCTCTTACTGGCTGTCATTTATAGTAAATGAAACTAATTATTATTCATTCTGGCTGGCTAGTATTAATTCGATGGATTCATTAAAAGGGATCCCATCCTGATGTAGTTTAGAATAGGATTCAAACTTTGTAGTATACTTTTTGTTAATTCTTTAAATTTAGCATTTCGAAGTATTTCCCCCACATTAGCTCACATACACACACAATCAAAGACAGCTGAACCTTGAGGCCATTTGAAAACTGGCACTCTGCCAGAAAGAGGGCTGGGCTACTGCTCTTGCAAAGAAACACATTTCATCTTGCTTCTGTTGACTGAAATGATGATGCAGAATGAGCTTATACTGTTAGAATCTGACAGAGGAACCTGAGAGAGTGCTTATAATATTGGTGGTCCTACAGAGTGGAGGGGATTTCTGATTCATTCTCACAGAGGGAACGGTATAAAAAAACACTTTCAGCCTTTTTGCCACCAGAGGAAAAAGAGGGACTTTTCATGTCGGTGAGTTTTAGTGAAGGAACTAAATATGCTTGACTCAGTACTTGCTGGGACCTGCTCAGATCTGTCTTCATATAGGGAGGATGGTATTCTGTTCTCCACCCAACTAGATGGTAAGCTGCCCTTGGTCAGCTGTGCCAGTAGCTAGGTGGCATATTAGCAAACAGTTTAGTTGGCTGCAGAGCTACAGTCATGTTCTCCACCTGGTAATAGCAGTAGAAAAGCAAACAAATCAGTAAAAAAAAATTAGTTTCCATTTGTCCATCTTTTTTTTTTTGGCAGCTGGCCAGGAGAGGGATCTGAACCCTTGACCTTGGTGTTCTAACACTGCTAATGAACTGAATGTCTTATTTCTTAATTAGCTCCAAATTGTAAGTGGGAAAAAGGTACTGTTATGGGCCCCCTAAAATCTTGGTGCACAGTGGTGTCTGGGGCACTACAAGCAGGTTTTAGAATTTAATTTCTTACTATGGGCCATAATATGATACTTGGTTCCTAACTGATACAAGCTAGGCAGACCATGGTCCAATGGCTGATTTGTCAGGAACAGTTTTGGCTTAAGGGGGTGGGTAGGAAAGGGGTTAGATAATCAAGAAAATGTCATTTATTTTCAGTAGGCATTGATGGCTAGAAAGTAAACTGCAAACACAGCTAAATTCTCCGAGTTTTTAGTTTTGTTCCAGGCATAGGTAGATAGTTGCCGTATTCTGTTCTCTGTGTTGTGTTGAACTACATTCGTGGTCATGGGAAATTTAGCTATCTTTACAGATTATTGTT